CCCCAACACCCCAAAACCCCAAAACCCCAAAACCCCTTAACTAAAAATATGAATTGAACTAAAAACTCATTATGGAGTAAGATTCTTAACTTCCACATTAGGCCAGGGACCGATTACCCGTATTCAGAAGCATTGCATTATGTTGATATGCTAGTGTGGTCAGGCCCAAGTTTGTCTGATATCTCTATAAAAGTTTCTTGCTTCGCAACGAGATAATCTTCGGTGATCTCATCAATGATATCCTTCGGTTCTTCGCCATCCTTGATTACTTTCTATTAAAAGTATGAGTGATGAATAAATGAGAAAAGGTTACCTTTTTCACGTTGGCAATCATAGTTCCAATATCCTGCATTCTTTCGAGGTTCTGCTTGATTTTCTTGAACTTGGACATAAAAACATTAAGTTTAGCTCTGAAGACTTGAATGAACTCATGTTGGATAGAATCATAAGATAATTCATAATTCTCAATCTTTGAGCAGCCGTTTAAGATGAATCTTCTTACATCAGGATGTATCAATTCTGGCTGGATTTCAAGAAATCCTTCGGCAAGGCAGAAACCGAGAGAAGTTGGAATGAAACATCTTGGGTCGTTTACTTCAGTAACATACTTTCTCATGACAATTTTGTTGATATGGTCAGGAATTGTTCCATCAGTTCCAATCTTATGTTGTTCAAGAAGCTGGATTAACTCAGGCTCTGATAAGAAGTCAGGAGGTGGCTTCTGAAGTTCCTCAAGAGTAATTGAGCATATATCATACTCTTCTTCGGTAAGTCTAGGCTTATCCAGATGTTTGAGCAGCTTCTTAACTCCTTTAGGTCTGTAATACTTGGTAAAGGTGTTTTCAGTGAACTCTGAACTTTGAGAATACAACTCTGTATCTCCTATCTTCACTATATCCTTATGAGTCTGCACCACTGCTTCTTTATCAAGTGTAGATAAGAAGTGCTTCATAACTAAGTTATGAAGATGATAAGAATCAGAATCTTTGATTAAAATCCCATGCTTAGAAGGCATCGAAACTGGATAGACAGGAGGATGAGCTTGGTATTCATTCTTCCTGCACTGCTGTATGTCATACTTGGAGAACTCTTCCTCCTCCTTGCTCTTATTGATTCTTTTGAGGAGGTCCTTAGCAATGTGCTTGTACTCTCCTTTGATTGAGAAGCTCTCAAGCATCGGGACGTATTCAAAGCCATAGTTGTATTGCCTACTATTAGTTCTGGGATAACTGATCATTCCTTTCCTGTACAAAGTCTGAGCAATCCTTGAAGTCTTACTAGCAGTATAGCCAAGCTCTTCAGAAGAACTCAAGAGCAAATTAATAGGTTGAGGCTTTGGGATTTTTACCGTTTGGCTATCTGTCCTAGCAAAGATAGCTGTGGTACCTGTAATTTTCTTGACCATTTCTTCTGCTTTAGATTTTTCTTTGAACTCTTCGTCAAGATACACATCAATCTTGTCACTATTTTTAGTATTGAGAGTAGCTTTTACTCTCCAATAGTTGTAAGGTTCAAAGTTCTTGATTTCAATGAATCTTTTGTAACAGAACCAGAAAGCAGGGAACTGACAAGGACCATATGATATTCTTTTGGCTAAATTCTTCCCGATCTTTTTCTGAATTTCATATGTAAGGAAAGTAGTAAATGCTATTCCTACTCTTAAGTCAATAACATCTCTTGCATGGCATGCCATTGATTTTGCTTTGTCAGGCCTGTATCTCAGATCATCAAAGCTCTCTCTTATTTCAATATGTGACAGACTAGAGAATTGGGCTCTTAAGGTATTTTGAAATTGGCACTCAATCCGTCTTTTTTGAATGAACTTGAGAACTTCAAAGCAGATATTTTCTCCAGCAACGTCATTATCAGTCCAGAATATTATCAAATGAGATCCTGAGAGCACATACTCAAGATTCTCCATTATGTTGGAGGTTGAGAATTTCCCTCTCCTTCTTCTCTCTTTGAAGTCTGATGGGTAATCTGTGAGCTGATCATCAAGAAAATTATGAGGATCTAAATCGTAGCTTTGAACCTGCTTCTTATAGTGGGTTCTATAATTTTTTTAAGATATTTAATGAAATTCAGGTTCTTGAACGAAAAGATAATCCTTTCTGAAAACGCAAAGTTTTGAGTCTACTAAAATCTGTATCAGCTAATTCAGCCGAATTTTGAAGGTTTTGAATATTTAGCTAACTCTAGATTTTGCTTACCTATACAGAAACCCATAAACCGAAGTTACAATGAAGAATGCTTCAATTCCCTTGAATTTTCCATAAAATTCATATCTTTCAATAGATTTGCGGGTTATTTTGTCTCATTGTGCTTTTGAGAGAGCATTTGCGATCTCTTTGGCAGCTGAAGGCTTCTCTGCAATCATTGTAATGTTAATTCCTCCAGTCTCTTCAGCAATTTGTCCTAATTCCCATACAAGGGCATCCATGTCAATCTCCAATGAATCATAATAAGCCTTCCTCTGCTTATTAGAGTAATCTGTTCTCCTCATAAACTTCATAGAGAACTTAGAATTCTCCTCATCTTCCACTGTAGGTAGCCGGTTATGAGGGTTTTTAACTCGAACCTTCTTTTTCTCTGTTTTCTTTTCCTCTGTTGTGCCTCCTAGTTTGTACATTCCCTTCTCGTCATAGAAGTCTGAGTCGTTAAAATCGCCTTCATTCTTATCAGAGTCCTCTCTATAAGTTATCATAAGGGGTCTTACCCTTCGCTAGCGTCGTTTAGGACAGCAAAAGTGGCCTTAGTCTCTTCAAGAGACTGGGTTTGGGGTAATGATTCCATTTTTGGATTTCCTTGATATTTTGAAATAATTTGTTCAAGGTTTAGGGCCTAAATGGGGTTTTGGGGTTTTGGGGTTTTGGGGTTTTGGGG